TTTATATATCGGCTTAAAGGCATTGTTAAAAGCAACCTTATGACCCATCTCTATAATATGCTTCGCCATAGATGATGTTGGACATCTATTTCCGGGGTCAACTGTATCTGGCGATTTCATTTGTTGTTGCAGCCACTTTGGAATGTGTTCTGTAGCCCTAAGATGCAGAGACTGATGGGTCCTCCCTATGTACTTGTCTCCACACATACATGTAAATTGATAAACACAGTGGGATGTGACACTATCGCACGGATAATGTGAGGGTTTACAGGAGAGCATAGTTCTCGTTTTCTCTATGAAGATAAGTTTAGCTGCATAATAGGTTCTATTAATTGCGGCCTTAAGTTTTTGTCTAGTGGCTAGACTTTGTTGATCACCTCTGAGCGGCAAGGATATGTAAACATCCCTTTTGGGAGCTGATTGGATTAGTAAAGCTCTATGGTTGACACTTCCGTAACGTTTAATAAATATCAGTGGGTAATTTTTATCTAACAGTATTTGAGTGAGGTGTTGTCTTTCTTCTTCAATTGTATCGGCAGTACATATACGGTGAATGTGCCCAACGCCTTTTATACTGTATTGGACAGAAACTATGATAATTTAGATACTGTCCAGTTCATGTTGACTTTCTGTAGACAGATCGTTTTATTGACCCATCTTCTCAGCGGGTTATGAGTACATTTAAAAATGGCAGGCATCCATTATTCCCCTTAACATAAGTTAGCGACATACTGTTTTGTGCTCTGTTGATCTGGTTCAGGATTTCTATGGCGTCTGTCGGTTTATCAAAAATAACTATTATGCCATCTACATATCTTTTATCGAAATAAACTTTTCCAATTTCTTTCTCCGCCATGTTCTCAACATGCGACATGTAAATATCAGCTAACAATGGACCTAGGGGGCTTCCCATAGCGACACCGTCGATCTGGCGATAATGCTCGCCCTCGAATGTAAACTTAACATTGTTAGTACAAAGAAGCAGTAACTCTTTTAAGTAAGATGTGGATACTGGTAATAGGAAATCGTTGTCAGAAATGAAGTCACATAAAATGTCAACCGTCTGTAAAAGAGGTACATTTGTACACAATCTGACCTGTATTGTAATTATTCATGCCTTCTATAAAAACTGTGTATGACAAGTACGTGTGTGATCAGAATGTCCGAAATGTGTTGCACAAATACATCACACACGTTTCAGATAAGCTACGTCTTCTCTTATTGTGTTGTCGGAATTCATTAAGGGAACTAATGGCTTTAAAGAAGACAGGAATACGTTGAACCAATAGGAAAACTCCAGAGGATCTGAATCTCACGGATGTTACAGAAACTCAAAAATCAACGAGTAGACAGAAGAGGCTGTGGGTGGCGAAGACAGACAGTACTTCAAGTGGACACAAAGGTGATGAAGATACCTGATAACCAACAACAATAATAACAACAAGTCACCATCGACAGGAAAAATCTGTAGGACATCACTACTTTCACTTGTCTGAGCAGTCAGTACAAGCAGCACAGATTAGAATGTCAAAGGCTGGATCAGACAAACTTTCATTTATCTGAAATCAGTTTGCTTATCCATCTACTGTACTCAGCATAAACAACAAGATCCGATTTTTTTATTACTAATAACAAGTAGATAAACTGAACTTAACGAGTTAGGAATCGACTTGTTACCAGGGTATAGTCTTATGGACTTGGAATATGTAGATGACATAGTCCTGTTAGGGGAGGATGCTGACATAATGCAGCCATCCTCGTATGTTTGGCATGCAATTCGCCCCTGTAAAATGTAAGATGCTGCTACAGGACTGGACTACGTCAACTCCTAGCTTAGTGATACGGAGTGAAGTGATAGAACATGTTGACCACTTCACCTATTTGAGAAGTTGTATCAGCGCCAACAGACTGATTGGCGACGAAATCTCAGCATGGATCCAAAAGGTCAAGCTGCTTTCGCTAACTTACATCATCTCTGGCGTAGGCGTGACATCCGGTTATCAACCAAGGGACGTGTGTACTGCTCAGCAATTCGCTCCGTCCTTCTTTATGGCTCTGAAACATGGCCAATACGAGTTGAAGACATGAAAAGATTGACTGCTTTCGACCATAGATGTCTGCGATCTCTTTCTCACGTTAGGTGGTATAATAAGGTTAGTAATGTTGACGTTAGGCGTAGAGTGTTGGGAAAAGAGGGAAAATCAACCGACGAGGCTATAAAGTTACATAGATTGAGATGGCTAGGTCGCGTGCCGCACATACCTAACCATCGCCTCCCCCGACGGGCATTACTAGCTGATATAGGTGTAGGTTGGAAAAGAGTAAGTGGTGGCCAAACAAAAACATGGCATCAGTCCATGAAATCCTTGACAGTTAAACTGAGTTAGGTAGGGAGATAGAGACTTCCGGGTTGGGGCCCTTGGGACTCTAAGAATCAATGGCTGGAGACAATAGGTGACATGGCTCAAAATCGTTGTCAATGGCCAGCGCAGATGTATTCAGTCCCTGTGATCTTTCATATTCCTTTCTACCATTCCCCATTATGTTTCACTCTTATACCTGTCAAACTCTATTGGTTCTCTTCACTCATCTTCTTGTCTGCCTTTGTGTGCTATTTGGAAGGTGGCAACTGGAACTGCTGCACTTCGGTGCCTAGTTCTATGTTGAATCCAGACAGAGAGACAGACAGAATATCAAGTAGTTGTTGGTTATCTTTGGTTCAGAAGTTTGACGCGTCAAGAGAAGCGTTTCCAACAATGCGCTGCAGACTTTTATGACACAACTGCCTTCTCTCCACATTAAATAAAGATTATATGGTTGGTTGGTTAGAAAGTATCTCAGCAACAAAGAACTCTAGGAATGAACCAAACAAGAATCTATTGTTCAGCAGATATGGAAATATAGATTGGACACACACACTGAGGAGACCGTTTAGTACCATCGCATTTACTAGGCCCTCGGGTGGATTCCGAATGGGGAAAAATACGAGTTGAGCTTCCGAGGGTGACATGGAGAAGGTGGTGTGAGGAGGAGATAGGACAGCTAAAAGGGGGACTTCAGAGAACAGGATGAAACGGGGGTGTTCTGTTGTGAACCCCTATGTTCTTCAAACACCATCAAATATTATGCAATAAAGTACGCTGAGAAATTCTGTACCGTGTGTAAGTATACTATCCAAAATACAGCTACTATTATTATTTTCACGAGTTGATCACCGATTGATTTTAGTTAGTGAACCATTGAAAACTAGCACTGGAGTACTGCACAGCTGTTCCTTCCATCCGAATTTCGGAATCATCGGTAGTACGCATCCACTGCCAGGGGTCGAACCCGGGACCTTCCTGTCACAAGGCAAGCTGGCTCGTATACCATTCAGCCACTGGGACCAGATTCAGTGACCAGCCCATGAATTCTAACTTCTATCAATTCGTGATTTAGCGCTACTGGCACCAACCAATTTCATCGGTGGGACATCCATCCTCTGATACTCACCAAATGACTTGCTACAGGATGGAGTTTCCTGGAGTTCTTCTAGTGAGAGAGATGTCGTGATCAGTGAAGGTGCATCCAGTCGGGAGTAAGGATGAATGTCCCACCGATAACACATTGCTTGGTGGTCGCACTAAAAGAGATCACGAATTGGTAGAAGTTAAAATTCATGAGCTAGTCCCAGGGGCTGAATGGTATACGAGTCAGCTTGCCTTGTAACCGGAAGGTCCTGGGTTCTAACCCTGGCAGTTGGTGCGCACTGCCGATGATTCCGAAACTAGGATGGAAGGAACAGCTGTCCAGTACTCCCTGTGGCTGGTTTTCAATGGTTCACTAAGTGATATCAATCCGTGATCAACTCGTAATAGCAAATACAATCCTTACAAACCAACGATAGAAAATTATTATTATTATTATTAAAAAACGCCACCTAGTGTATACCTGTCTACAATGAGAGTAACATTTATAATGTGACTAATACTTCTGGTAATAATAATAATAATAATCACGTGTATAAATCTTTGTGCGATAATGTGCGTAGCTGGAATTTAGCTTTTAATAATGATAATAATAATAATAATAGTAATTTGCTTTATTCCAGAAACAGTACTAGTGGTACAGTGTGGAATTTTCAGCACATATCTACAATATTGCATCTAATTTCATGAAACATTTATAAGGAGTATTACAAAAAAAATATTAAAAAACAACAACAACAAAAACCAAAAGAAACACAAAAATAACAAAAAAATGCAAATTGAAATACCAAGTAGAAAGAAAGATAAACACCAATAACGAATAATATTTCAGTATTCGGTGGTGGGAGTTATGATATGTGTATGCGTGGTGAACAGTAACAGCTATAATCATACAAGAAGTTATGAAATGTAATTAAGAATGTTTATAGCCAAGATGATCAGTTAATTTGATTGAACTACACTAAACAATCATAAAATAAACATTTCAGGGTTTTTATTTCTATTGTCAGCACTAATGCAGTGTTTGTTGTGATAGTGTGAGTAATCCTGCATAATACAAAAAAATTTAAAATGGTGATAATGGCGTCCACAACCAAGATTGTCAGTTTTAATATTTCGTGGAAAATACCCATATGGACATTGGAAAGAAGAGAACACGAAGTTCAGGAAAGATATCTTTTCGCCGATTTCCGAACAAAGAAAACAATCATAAAACTAATATTACATGAAGGTTATTGGCAGGACAATTTTGTAATACTCATAGTGCTAATATAGTCGGACCCAGTAGATACACAAATGAAGAAATAGAATAAAGAATAAAAAGTAAGCCAATGTTAATCATTTTAGGTAGCTTAGTATGTTTAAGAAGGTTGTTCACTATATAATACAAATAAGAGAGAATAAGGGAGAAATGAAAGGACCAAAATTATGCTACTAACAACATAATTTTTATTTATTTTTATTTTATATTTTATTTCGTTTCAAACTAATTAGGATCTTTCTTTTTTTTCACCATTATATGATTTATTTCAGTTGAATGCTTGTTCCTATTTAAAGCATTCTCCTAAAGCCTTATTTTCAAGTGGTCAATGTCATGGTGATATGAATGAATTCCCACCGTATAAAGTTACCGACAGCATGTGTACACCATCGAAAGAAATAATTCTCCAAACAATACTCTATGCAGTTGGTTTAGTGAAAGCACAAAGTGTATATATAGCCACTGATAATAATCCTATGGTGTCAATAATTCGTCAACATCTAAGGAATACAACAGTAAGTTGAAATGGTTGTAATTTCCAATCGATTTTATATATATATTTTTTAATTACAGCTTGATTCCACACTGTATTTTTGGTACAAGTATGAAATTTTCAGCATGGATATCGGTAGCCTAGATTTTTCAGGCCGACCATAGATACCTGGACCCGAATCGATGGCTCATGAATTCTAACTTCTGCCAATTCACAACATAGCGCGACCCCTATCGCTATGTCGTGAATTGGCAGAAGTTAGAAATCATGGGCTAGCCATTAGATTGGATATCAGTGGCTTATTGGTATACGAGCTCGCTAGCGTTGTAGCCAGAAGGTCCTGGGTTCGAACCCTCTTGGTGGGTGCGCTTCAACTACAGGCGGAACTGACGAAGATATCAAAGCAGCGTGAATCGGAAAAGCAAGACAAGCTTTCATTACTCACGTCAAGTCTGTGTGGAGGTCAACAAGATTGACTGAGCATGAAAAATAAGATCCGGATTTTCAGCTCTAATGTGAAGTCAGTCAGTGCTACTTACTGTACGGATCAGAGACTTGGCCAGCGCGTCATAAAGAGCATCATCTCGAACAAAGAAAATTTCATTAACAGCTGTCTTCGCTCAATAATATTCAAGATCAGATGGCCGACCAGAAAAGATCAGCCACAGGAAGGGATCTCTGGGAATGAGCGAACCAACTCAGCAGGAAGCGATTGTGAAACAAATAGGCAGTAAGAAATGGAGATGGATTGGCTGGCCATACTCTGAGGAAACAAGCCATCAAGTGACATCACTAGACAAGCCATCGCTCGAGTGGAACCTGGCCGGAAGGGAAGCAGCGAGTTGGTCGTCAGTGCAAGGGTGAGGTGACTTGGAGGAGGTGATGTGAAGAGGAGATGAAAGCGTGTGAGCGGACTTGGAGCGGAATGATAAAGTTGGCAGAAAATCGAAGGCAATGGAGACTTGGGTGGCTGAAGCCCTATGTTCCTCTAGGAATTAAAGGATATAATAATAATAATGTTGAGAATCACATTTTTTTAATTAGACAGATAATTGATTCGTGCATTATAGACGGAGTAGCACATCTCACCATCTCAGTGTGTATTTTTCAGTTAATTTGTTCGTATGGAGCAAAGTATATCGATCATATACAGCATCAAAACTGTAAGCGTATTTTGGAAATACTGTCCAACTTGGTTTGGGTAAATGACAGAAGAAGACTACCACTGAGTATCTTATCATCTTTGGGCATAGGGAACTTCTACTGGTGACTAGTTTACACAGTGATCTCCAGAGATACCCCAATATCTCCCAAGAAGACTTTGAATACACCATTGATATCTACTAACTTCTTATTATTTATTCTATTACTAATTCGTATCATCCTGGAGAGAATAAAGGATGCACTGGATACAAAACTCCACCAGCCGACCGGAACAAGCTGGCTGGATTCAGGAAAGGCAAATCACGTGCTGGTCGAATTCCAAATCTATGCATCGTCATCGAACAAAGCATTGAATGGAAGTCAAATCTCTAGCTCAACAGCTTCATCGAGTTTGTAAAGGCCTTCGACAGACGACAGCGTTGATTGAGAAGTAATTTGGAAACTAATTCAACACTATAGAGTGGAGTGCCGCATTCCCTATCAACCTCATCCAACAGCTGTCTACATGACAATGCCACGTGCCAGGTGATCCGCAAAAGAAAACTCAGCTAAGCGTTCGAAGTGAAGACGACAGGAGTAAGACAAGCTGGCTACCTGCCTGTTATCACTTACAATGATATTCTTAATTGTGGTGAACTGGATAATGCATCAGACTCTGTGTGTGTGTGTGCGTGTGTGTGTGTGGAAAGAAGAGACAGGAATACGCTGGACCACCGACGAGAAGACTCTAGAAGATCTGGATTTAGCAAATGATGTACGTCTAGTGTCACGAACTCGGAGACTTGCAGTCAGGCGAAAATCAACAAGCTGGTTGAAGAGGCTGGCAGGCAGGTTAACGGAGGTGATGAAGATATCCAACGAACCGCAATAACAACAACAAGCAGCACCAGTAACTATCAACGGGAGACATTTAACAGAGGTTACTTCCTTCACTTATCTAGGAAGCATGATTTCAACCACAGGCTGTCGAAACGGATGAAGATGTCAATACCAGCCAGCCAGCCAGCCAACCAGAATGAGAATGGCGAGATACTCCTTCATCATGCTGAAACCAGTTTAGAAATCTGCACTGCACTACACTCAGCCAGCGTCAACAACAAGATTTGAATTTTCAGCACCAATGTCGAGTCAGTCATTTCTTCTATGCGGGTCACAAACTTGCATAACGTGAGACGAAAAGGATTGTCAACAGCTGCCTCCTCCGCCCGCTGGCCAACTGGCCGGCCAGAAAAGAATTAGCAACAAGAAACTCTGTCTGGGAACAAATCAGCCAAGATCTGATTGCTCAAAAAATATGCTGAAGAAAATGGGGATGGATCAGGCATACATTGAGTGAGGAGGCCTTGCGAATGACAGCGCACCTTCAAGTTCTAGAGTGGAAACCCAATGGGTGCTCAGTGCGACGTTGACAAGGAAGAGATTGTATGGCGAGGAGGAGGAGATGGGCAACTTTGGGCAATCTTGAATCAAAATGAAGAGGATGGCAGAGAATAGAACAAAGTGCAGATGTGTTGTTGAAGCCATAGGTTCCACTCGAAACCCAAGAGAACAGTAATTATTATTATTATTATTATTATTATTATTATTATTATTATTATACCCTTTAATTCCTAGAGGAACATAGGGCTTCAGCCACCCAAGTCTCCATAGCCTTCGATTTTCTGCCAACTTTATCATTCCGCTCCAAGTCCGCTCACACGCTTTCATCTCCTCTTCACATCACCTCCTCCAAGTCACCCCACCCTTGCACTGACGACCAACTCGCTGCTTCCCTTCCGGCCAGGTTCCACTCGAGCGATGGCTTGTCTAGTGATGTCACTTGATGGCCAGCCAATCCATCTCCATTTCTTCCTGCCTATTTGTTTCACAATCGCTTCCTGCTGAGTTGGTTCGCTCATTCCCAGAGATCCCTTCCTGTGGCTGATCTTTTCTGGTTGGCCATCTGATCTTGAATATTATTGAGCGAAGACAGCTGTTAATGAAATTTTCTTTGTTCGAGATGATGCTCTTTATGACGCGCTGGCCAAGTCTCTGATCCGTACAGTAAGTAGCACTGACTGACTTCACATTAGAGCTGAAAATCCGGATCTTATTTTTCATGCTCAGTCAATCTTGTTGACCTCCACACAGACTTGACGTGAGTAATGAAAGCTTGTCTTGCTTTTCCGATCCACGCTGCTTTGATATCCGCGTCAGTTCCGTCGGCCTGTAGTTGAAACGATGCTTCCCAGGTAGGTGGGTAGGTGGGTAAATGGGGTTGTTTCTTTCAGGTTCCTCCCATTTATGCTGGCTGATTGTTGTCTGTCTTTGTTGTTGCTGTTGGTGTTGGCCAGGAATCTTCATCCCCTGCCTCTCTTTTTTCTATGTTCACCTGGAGTGTAGGCCTATCTTTGATGCTTCTTCTGCCAACTTGTTGCTTTTCACTTGCATATCTTCCAGTTTGTGGGTAATCAGACATATATCTTCATCGGCAAAGTCCAGATCCTCCAAGTCTCTTTTTGTGTGAGTCCATTTTATGCCTGTTTCCTTATAGCCCGTTGTCTTTCGGTTGCATTATCCAATCTACTGCAATCAGGAAAATCACTGGCGATAGTAGACAACCTTGCCTCACTCCCGTCCTGACTTCGAAGGATTCCGTAAATTTTTCGATGTAGATTACTTGGAATAGTCATAATGGTAATTATTATTATTTATTCATAATAATAATAATTGTATTATTCTATGAGTATTTTAAATACCCACATGATTAACACTTTCTTCTTCTTCTTATCTTTTAACAATTTGAATTCAAATCACCAACACCACCACCACCAACAACAACAATCAATCAACAGGTAGAAAAAGTTGTATGGAAACCTGATTCAGCGCCTGAAGAAGATATGGCATTATTAGGCCGATGTGATTTAACCATATTAAATTGCATATCCACTTATTCAGCTGCTATAAAACGTGAACGAGATGTCAGGCGCTTGCCTAGTATGTTTTTTGGTTTAAATAATGAAGATCAAAGAGGTTTAGAAGTGCTGTGTACAAACCGTGAAAGCGCACACAATTGGTGGTTGAAATTTTATCGAAAATAATTCGAGTTGAATTTCTATGCTTAATGAGATTGGCTTATTCTCTCCTTGATCTCAATATTATTATTATTATTATTATCACCATATTTCTTTCAATAAATTTATATATGCATTATGTGTGTGTGTGTAAAATTTCTAATAAATGTACATTTTTAATGATTACTGGTGTCTCCTTTTCAAAAACATCTTAATTTTATTCATGTGTTCACTTGACAATATGACAGCATATCAATAACATTCTCTATTGTTGGTATTTGAAAAGCAACAAGCTGGCGACGGAAGAAGAAGCATCAAAGATAGGCCTACACTCCAGGTGACACATAGAAAAAAGAGAGGCAGGGGATGAAGATTCCTGGCCAACACCAACAGCAACAACAAAGACAGACAACAATCAGCCAGCATAAATGGGAGGAACCTGAAAGAAACAACCCCATTTACCCACCTACCCACCTACCTGGGAAGCATCGTTTCAACTACAGGCCGACGGAACTGACGCGGATATCAAAGCAGCGTGGATCGGAAAAGCAAGACAAGCTTTCATTACTCACGTCAAGTCTGTGTGGAGGTCAACAAGATTGACTGAGCACGAAAAATAAGATCCGGATTTTCAGCTCTAATGTGAAGTCAGTCAGTGCTACTTACTGTACGGATCAGAGACTTGGCCAGCGCGTCATAGAGAGCATCATCTCGAACAAAAAAAATTTCATTAACAGCTGTCTTCGCTCAATAATACTCAAGATCAGATGGCCGACCAGAAAAGATCAGCCACAGAAAGGGATCTCTGGGAATGAGCGAACCAACTCAGCAGGAACCGATTGTGAAACAAATAGGCAGTAAGAAATGGAGATGGATTAGCTGGCCATACTCTGAGGAAACAAGCCATCAAGTGACATCACTAGACAAGCCATTGCTCGAGTGGAACCTGGCCGAAAGGGAAGCGGCGAGTTGGTCGTCAGTGCAAGGGTGGGGTGACTTGGAGGAGGTGATGTGAAGAGGAGATGAAAGCATGTGGGCAGACTTGGAGTGGGGTGAAAAAGTTGGCAGAAAACTGAAGGCAATGGAGACTTGGGTGGCTGAAGCCCTATGTTCCTCTAGGAATTAAAGGATATAATAATAATAATAAACTCGTTGACTACAACAATGGAGGTTAGTACCCTAATGCTGAATAATGTTGAAAAGCTGTTGGCTGGTAAATTTTTTGGGAGAGGGAGGGCAGGGGGTGATTATTTACCACTTGTTGGCATTCACTTCACACAAGATCTTATTGGTCATGAATGTAACATGCACTAGTACACATAATCTTCGATATTCCATTGAAAATTGTCTAGTAAAAAATTTGTCTGAATAAGAAAGCTTCTTGAAAAGACTTAGAGGCTTGTAGAACCTAATCCTCTTAAGAGATGATACCAGTAGTCCATCCACCCGAACTCCTTCACAACGGTCATTCTAAACGGATTTCAAGTGTGATCAGGAGGAGCATGGAAACAAACTTAATATAACTAGTTTTATAACTAAAAAAAAATTAGGTGGATTTAATGAAGACTGAGGGAATAAGGATCAGACACACAGCGAACAAAAAATGCTCTCTCTTTTCCTTTTGAGCATTTTTTCGTTCGCCATCAGTCCTTATTCCCTCAGTCTTCATTAAATTCACCTGATTATTTTAGCTAAATGGCAATCAGAACCAACCTGTCACTAACCACTTTCGTAAAGTGTCTTGTACTACTGATATTCCGTAGTAAGTAAGTTAAATAAAAATCGAAAAATGATTTAGTTCATTCAAATGAACTGTCGTCAAGATTTGACGGAATAGTTCTAAAATATTTGAGCGCCGAGTGAGAAGTAGACATTTGTAAAAAATTATATTTGTAAAATCTCATCGAGATTGAAATGAGTAATTCCAACGTTTCGTTCAGAAATCTGGTCCGACTTTCTTCAGCGAAATTAATCGAAATTAACATAACCGAGGTTTATGTATAAAAGGAACACATCTTGTTTTTAAAAACTTTGTCCAATCATGAGTCATAAAACAAGTATAATAAACAAAATTGTACGAGTTGTGATCAAAATTTGACCTCGAACTTACAAATATTGGTCTACCTTTGTTAAGCACTTTAAACAAAGTGTGCATGCGTGTGTGGGTACACAGTTGTATAGCATTTCTTAACTTATCCATAAGAAGATATAGACAGTCAGGAATTTTGACCAAGTATTATTAATTAGTGATGCATATCCATTTTTTATTTATTAATCAGGATTTCCTATGCATCAGCTAACATCAAACCTTCATGTCTGTTCAAACTGTTAGTATCTAGAATTTTATGATTAGGCGTGCTTTCAAAATTATGGTGTTTAGGATTAGAGTTTAGTTGAAGCACCCTGTCAAACTTATTGCTTTGTCTTCTTTCTGAAGATTGAACTGCTTTATTCGATCTACTGGAGTTGTCAGGTGACTGAACAGCTACTGCAACAGAAAGCGTATCCTAAATCTGTGTTTAAAGTGTTTAACAAAGGTAGACCAATATTTGTAGGTCCGAGGTTAAATTTTGATCAGAGCTCATACAATTTTGTTTATTATACTTGTTGATACTTGTTTTATGACTCATACGATTGGATAAAGTTTTTAAAACAAGAGATGTTCATTTTATATATAAACCCTTGTTATGTTAATTTTGATTAATTTCGCTGAAGAAGTTCGGACCAGATTGCAGAACGAAACGTTGGAATTACTCATTTCAATCTCGCTGAGATTTTACAAATGTCTACTTCTCACTCAGCGCTCAAATATTTTAGAACTATCCTGTCAAATATTGACGATAGTTCATTTGGAGTGGGATGGGTGGTTAGAGAAAAATATAGTAAGCAACTTATGAAACTGTGTGACCAAATTAATATGATTATGAGTGGTAAATTGTGCTCGAAACGTTATCCAGTCATGAATACTGTATGACTCACTTTGTGTTATATCAGATAAACGTATCTCATATAAAACTATACTATAGTGCCCTAATTCTACTTTTACACTTTAACGTTTGCATAATTTCCGAATAAAAAGCGATTAATCTCAATGGGAAAGCAGTTGAATACTCGTCAATCACGCCTCGTGTGGCTCGGGGTTCGATTCCCAGCCACTGGATGCACTCCTTCACCTTGCTAAGCCAGTAATAAGACTAGTAAAGAGGGAAGGTTAGGTGTGAGGCTAGTAACCCCATCCCGTAAAAATAATCACCACTTACTGCTACAGAAACTTCAAGCCTCTAGTTTGAAGCCCTATTTTCCCCTGAGAACGTAGAGGAATAAAAAAATCTTAGATATTAATAATAATAATTTGCTTTATTCCAAAGCAGTAATTGTGATATAGTTTGGAATTCCCAGCATTTGATACAATATTCCATCTAATTTACTCAACAACAGTGAACACAAAATAATAATAATATCACTGGATATACATAACCATGCCTCCTTTATGGCTGTAAGCCAGACCTGGCCATTGAGAGTGGAAGACTGACTGCATTTGATCATAGGTGCCTACTTTCTATCTCCCGTGCGAAGTGGTATAATAAGGTGAGGAATATTAATGTTAGGCATAGATCGAATGCTAGGTAAGGAGGGGGGGGGAATCAATCGACGAGTCTGTGAAGCTACATCGACTGAGATGGTTAGGACATGTGTTACGCATGCATGCCTAGCCACCGCCTTCCTCGATAGTGGGCAATGTTAGCTGACATAAGGTCAGGCTGGAAAAGAGCTAGCGGCGGTCAAACCAAAACATGTCACCAGTCAATGAAATCTAAAACAGTTAGTTTAAGCCAGCCAGTCACGTAGGAAGGTGTAGACTTCCTGATTGGTTTGGGTCCTAGGGATGGTAAAAACCAACGGTTGGAAACAATTGGTGATATGGGTCAAATTGATCGTTCTAAATGGCTGGCGTAGTTAGATGCATCCACTCCTTGTGACTCATGATTTCCAATAAAACTACATTGTTTTGCAATCAATAGTGAGCTACAGATCTCTATTATTTCGAAACTATATTGTTCTTCGTCATTACTATTCCTTTGTCTCACACCTCTGTTTACTGTCTCTATTATGCATTTCTTCTACTTTCTTCTGTTGCTTTGTGTGGTACAAGGAGGGAGCATAGCGACTTAAACTGGTGCCTATCTGTGCAAAGTTCTTTATCGAAAACAGACAGAGTCCCACTGTTTTGTCTGATTATATAAAAGTGAATGCATTGCAGTGGCCAAGGTTTTTCTAGATTATTTAACTTAGAAGAGTCAACCATTCTAACTCTAAATAAATTTCAGTTTTTCACTAATCTAATTAACCCCTTGGTTTTTTGCTTTCACCTGACTTTGCAACTGCTGATGAGGTTTCATTTCCGCTTCAAATTATCTGATTGTCATCCTCTTACCCACATCCAACTTGTCGCTCCCTATTTGGATTCTTCGACCCAACAGCCTGGCATGTCCAATCTATCTCCTTTTACTTCTGCTTAACTTTTGGCGATAGATTGTTGGTTAGTTCTCTGCCTGCTAGATTTATTTGCTACCTATTCTGTACGGCAGGCCACCTGATCTTCACTGTTGAGCTAATGCATCTGTTGGTGACAATCTGTATCCTATTCAAAACTTATCCATGAACTATTAATTCAAAGACTTTGTTCAACATTTGGAATATTACAAAAAAAGGAAGGGAGATTAAAACTATACGAAGCAAGTTATGAAGTTGTGTGAATATATTGATATGAGTGGTAAATTGTGCTTGAAATGTCATCCAGTCATTAATATTGTGGTGAGAGCTGGCTGCGAACAAGCCACAGTTGTAGACAACAGTTTACGTCAATGTTCACGTTCCTAATCAGTATCATGAGAAAAACATTAACAAAGCATAACCTTGAGCAACTCACCAACCAATCACAGCAGACCTAACTTGTGCAAATACGATTCGCGGATACATGGAATACAATAGTCTTTTTCTTTCTCAATAGTAAAATTTATTGCAGGATGTAACTCATTAAATTTATCCAGGATGCTCTTTGCTTCCTTCTCGTTTTTCATAATCAAAAACGTATCATCCATGTACCGACAATAAAATTCGAGTTCACTAACAACGTCCCCCAGAGGTCCATTTTCCAGTTTCGCAAGGAAAATGTCGACTAGAATGGGTCCTAGTGGTGACCCCATTGCCACACCGTCAATTTGTCTATATAGTTCCTTATTAAATAAAAAGTCGACATTCACTGTATATTTTAGACGTCTTTATGACCAGAAAAGAGGATGGCACAATAAGAAGAAGTGTTTATAGAAAACCTACATCAACGGGCCAGTACGCACATTTTCTCAGTTTTGTGCCCTTGAAACACAAACGCAATTTGATAAAGTGCCTGGTTCACAGAGCAAGAGCGATTTGCTCGGACGAATGTCTTGATGAAGAACTGAATAATATTAAACGGTTGCTAAGTGAGAATGGTTATCCTGAAAAGTTTATCGATAAGAATATGAATTTGAAACCAAAGCAGCCGAAGTTACCAACAGTTCCAAAAAAGGCCTTATTCTTACAGATGCAGTTCCTTGGGGACAACACTAGTGAGATACTAACACAGCGCATTAGAAATGCGGTAAAACGAGCATTCTCTGCTGCTGAATTACATTGTATCTTTAAAACCACTCCTCTTCTGCGTTCGGGAGTAAAAGACAAACTGCCTAATTTCGCCTCATCCATGTGTATCTACCAATTTAACTGCTCCTGTGGAGTGAGCCAGTTACATAGGCCACACAATTAGGCGTGTTTCTCGTCGAATTTGCGAACGTCATCCTGCGTGGTTAAACAAAGGTCAAACAAAATCCATTCGTAGCGCTATTCTGTCTCATCTTGTGGAGACAGAACACAAGATTGACGTCAACTATGTTTTCAGGGTCATTTACCGCATATCTACGAATCTCAATTTTACCTTTAGGTTTCGACTACTAAATATTGCTGGGGCTCTGGGGATCCACATTAACAAGCCTAATTTATGCATCCAAAAGAAGTTAGTTCAGACATTATCATTACATTGGCCATCCAGGTTTGAATTACCTTGAATTTTTGTGGAATCTCCCTAATTTTAGTTGATATTCTATTCGTTATTATATCTTTATTACTATTATAATTTAAGTATCTTCAGTGAACTGTAACTGCACTGATCATACTTTACAAATTGATATTATTTAAAAAACACTAATATTGTTATTAACTACCAATCTTGAATATTTTGTGTATATAAACATATGTATAATTGTAGAGCCGGAAGAGGAATTTATCGAAAAGAATATTCTTTGCTCAATAAACAATCTGTTGTCTGGCTCTTCTCTTCTGTAGTTACAATACTATATCGCTCACTGTGTGTTATATTAAATAAACCTATCTTATATGAAATGTCGAGCTGGTAGGATATTGTTCACATGCCTTAAAATTGTTTTCCTTCTACAGAAATTGTATTATTTACATTATTGCTCTTTATTTTAAAATAGGAAATACCATAAGCAGTCTACATAAAGCTCATCTTTAACTACTCCTGTACGCTAGTCATTGAGTAGAAATTTCTGAGTTGTAGATTGTGTATAATAATGTGGTGTATAATTGTTATGTTGCTGAATTTCCACATGAAAAAGGTTAAGCATGATGAACACTTGTAGTAGATTTTCACTGATCTCAACTGGTAATTTTAAGAAGACTTACGCGTGGAATGTATATGGGTTACACATTAATATTAGAAACGTGTATTTTCAAAACGAGCGAGTGAGCGAACGAGACAAAAAGAGGTACTGTAATAACAAACATATAATTACAATCGTCATATAAAAAAGTATCATTAACTATTATAGGTTGCAGTATTGGGCCAATTAGCGAGCAGCAAACATCGTGCTGAAATCTGATTGGTTGTTTATCTATCTGATTAACACATATAGGAAATCAATATTTGTATAATTTAAATTCTGACTGACAGACTATCTTCTACCTAGTCTGTAGTCACAAACGATGATAGTGTACTTATTACACTTGTTTCATTTGATTTTTTTGTATCTGTTTGAAACGGTCCAACTGTTGACGTCACTGCTTGCAATATTAATAAGAAATAAATCATAGCCGCCGTTGTGTAGTCATCATCTGAGAAATGAACATCTCGTCTCTTTGATAACATTTGCCCTGCGACCATTAGACACTAGACAGTTAGAAATATGTTCATTAAAAAATATGTTAAGAGTTTCTGCAATCAAATATAATTTGATCGGTGTGACAAAGTTCAATCTTCATTAGTATGTATTTTAGGGTGACGTCACATATAACTGATTGAAAGAAACGAGTAGTCGGGAACATTTATAACTATCCGGTCAAATCTTGATCACAGTTCGTATGAAGTAGTCGGGAACCATTGTAATTTTTGTTAGCTAGATTGAACACCGGATGGCCCTTTCGCTCTTTTGAGGCCGTATGCATCAACACTATCCGATTTCGGCTCAGATCAGAGAGTCAAACCATTGGGATTCTGACTAGCTACTTGGGTGAACTGGCCATATATAGCATCGAATTCGTCATTTATTATTACTGATGTGCTCAGTCCCAAACAGGCACAGCGACTATCTGGCTTTTTGATAGCAGGCAGTACTGATATGAGTACTAAAATGGGAGCAAACTACATAGGAAGACAGCGCTCATAATGCATTGGGAGACTCTTAGCTAAATGAATGAGAATGGAGAATTCTTCTCAGACTTCCGTGTATTCAGTGATCTGGTGAATGGAGGCGGCGTGTACAATCACAAAGATATACACAAGGCGACACTCCAACCTTAAGAAAGTGGAGACGCAGTCTTCTGGATACATATCCCACAAGGGGAGGTGATGTGAGCTCAGACCATCATCATCTAGTTCAAGGAACGTTCAAGATCAAGCTAATAGCCTTTAGAATAGCTGGAGATAAACCACAATTCAAGTTCACCACTGAGGAACTTAAGGAAGAAACTACAAAAGATGCTTTCAATGCGTCTATTAAGGCTAAGTCAGAGACACTTAATCACATCATTGAGGAAGTCTGCGTAAAATAACATTGGAACCTTCTGGATGTCATGTTTAGGTAAATGTAAACAGCCGTTTTAAGACGAAAGAAGAGGTAAAACAAGGAATGTGAATGTCCGCGAACACGTGGTATCTCATCAAGCCAATGAATGCGAAGAAGGCAGCGGCAGGTAAAGAAAAATGTCGACTGACTGGAAGAACAGGCTACCTTGTAAAACAAACAAAGAGGGGAGACATAGGTCTTCATTGACGTTTGCGCGCGCTGTTTGAAAGGGAGTGCTTTTTTCACGTATTTCACGTTTTTGACAAATCGCTGTTTTGTTGTGTTATTCACTTCAAGAAAATTAAAAAAAACTTTAACTTGACTTTTGTCTGTTAAGTTTTGATTTTAACCACTTATATAGTCTATATTAGGTAAATTGTCTTGGCTGTTTCCAGTAGAAGTTCATTATGTCAAAAGTACCACATAAATGTAATAGGGCGGAGTGTTACTTTTTGGTAGATGATGGAATACAGTGTAATAACTGTGAGAAGTGGTATCATAAGATGTGTACTGGATTACGTCCAGCTGCATACAAACGTTGTACTGTTCCAACATCCCACTGGATGTGCAGAATGTGTTGCTCCCCAAAGATGACCTTAATAAGGGAGGCTCACGAACTGCCGTCTAAAGCCATGGAACTTCCTGATGATAGCGTGGCTAGTAAGAGTGACACGGACTGCCCGTCTGAAGATGAAGCAGTAAGTGCCATCATGAATGTTATCACACCGGCGGTTACTATCCCAGTTACCCCGGAAGTAAAACCTACTAGGCGTTCGAAGCGTCTTAGTAAGCGAAAAGGTAACAAAACGGAAGCTGTAAACAGCATCTCAGAACCAGAGAACACCGTAAGCGAAGTTCACCATGAAGGTGGTGCAGACACTGATCTTGATTGTACCATCAAAAACTGCAGCAGCCCTGAGAAGCAACTGCAGGCAGATGATAAATGGGTAACAAAAATAAGCAGACGGAAGAAATATAGTAATATTGATGGTAGGCAAACGTCTGTCACCTGTAGCCAGGCTGCATCAATAGTGGTGAGAAAGGACGTAGCCACTGCTAAATACGACAAGCTCTCCTTAGACTCTAACATAATTGTTGGAAATTTGGAAGAGTCCAAAGAATCTGATCCCGTGAAAAGGCACGATCACGACCTTAAATTAGCGAGTAGTATTATAAGGAAGATGCTCCTAGCGAATTTCCCTGGAGTATCGATTAAAAAGCTGATTAGAATAGGCAAAAGAGATGATGAATGTTCTAGTCAGCGTAGGTTGCTTAAAGTAGCCTTAGGTTCTCCTGATGAACGGAATCATCTACTGGCTAATGTACACAACCTTGCCGGGTCAGGAATTTCAGCCAGACCTGATTTATCTCTTGAAGACAGACTTAAACGAAAAGAAGTTTTGTCCCAGCTAGAAACAAGACGTAAAAATGGTGAGACTAACCTTAAACTGGTGGGTTTTCAAATAGTCAGGTCTTGGAAACGTATGCTTCCAAGACCTGTGTGGATAAGCCAGACCGCATAGGAAGCCTGAAGGTAGTGTACACTAATATACGTAGTATCGGGAACAAATTTCACGAGCTAGGTGTATTAGTAGAAGACCTTAGCCCAGGTATTGTGGCCAATACTGAAACATGGCTGGTTTCGGGATTAGATGACACACCTGAGCTATGCGGATTTAGTTGCTTGCGCAGCGACAGAGTTAAGGGTCGTAGAGGTGGCGGGGTTGCTCTGTACATCAACAACTCCCTACATGTTCGTTCCGTGAAATCTGAAGCTCATGACAGTGGGACAGGTGAGGTAATTAGCTGCGAAGTAAGCTTTGCAACCGGCACTCTACTCATTGGAGTTCTGTATAGAAGTCCCTATTGTCAGTGTGATGACTTCATTTTAGATCACCTCAAACAATGGAGTAAACACAGGATCCGCTGATAAGTTTGACAGCCGGTTACTCTTGACAACCATGGAAAATGCCCTGACACAACATGTCTTAGGTAGTACAAGATTCGGTTCTACCCAAGGATCTTCCTTGCTGGACTTAGTGCTTACTCATGACAACGACGACGTGGATGGTCTAGTTATTCATCCACCTCTAGCAAACAGTGATCATGGGGTGTTAGATTTTAACTTAAGGGCTGGCAATTTAGTCAGTTTTCAACCCAAATCCCGGCCTAGTGTTTGGCATGCTGACATAGTGGCTATAAAGGAGCGTGCTTCAACTGCCGACTGGTCAGTCAACATTGTCTCATCCATTGAAGATGAATGGGATAGATTTAAGAATACACTTGAGAGGGTTACCACTGATCTCATCCCCTGGAGGGTTCCTAAAAGGCCAACAAATCGGCCACCATGGATAAATAGACAAGCTATAACACTCCTGAGACGGAGAAAAAGGTTCTGGAATCTCTTTGTTTCTACTGGGCTACAGCAGTTCCGGCTGAAATACTGTGAAACCAGAAACCAGTGTAAAACTTTGATCCACCAGTCAAGGATAGCTTACGAAACCCAGTTAGTTAAAAGTTCACCAGGCTGCCCAAAAAGACTCTTCTCATATATCAAGAGAAGAACACGTAAGAGTGATGCTATCCCACCTCTTATGCTTGAAGATGACCAGACAAACATGGCTGAGGATAACTTGACTAAGGCTGAGGCTTTGTCCAAGCACTTTAGTCAAGTATTCTCTGATAATATTGATACCAGCTTTGTAAATTTTCCAAAAGGTAACTTGAAAATGGCACCCTTATACATTGGAAAGGATACTGTCCTAAAGTGGCTTCTAAGGCTCAATCCTGGTAAGTCCAGTGGCCCTGATGAACTCCACCCACGTATATTAACAGCATTGGCTGAAAGCATAGCCGAGCCATTGTCGGTAATCTTCAATATGTCTCTGGACCAGTCTAAATGTCCAAGAGACTGGAAAGATGCCATCATTAGTCCGGTCTTCAAAACCGGATCTAGAAACTTAGTTCAGAACTATCGTCCTGTTAGTTTGACCAGTATTGTTGTTAAACTACTAGAAAGAATAATTCGTGATGCTATCATTCAGTTCATTGAAGGGAACAAACTTTTCGCTGTGGAACAGCACGGTTTTAGAGCAGGTCATTCTTGCTTGACCAACCTTCTTTTGGCCAGAGAAAGTTGGGCAAGCTCAGCTGATGCTAATATACCGGTGGATGCCATATTCATAGACCTTAGCAAGGCGTTTGACAGGGTTTCTCATTCAGGTCTTCTAGTAAAGTTAGGTAGTCTGGGAATCAATAAAGTGGTTACCGACTGGATTCAAGACTTTCTAAAGGACAGAAGACAAAGAGTACGAGTTAACGGGGTTTTATCAACATGGGAATCGGTTAAGAGTGGCGTTCCTCAGGGTACAATTCTAGGCCCACTTCTTTTCCTGATTTATGTTAATGAGATTCCATCGGTAGTTAAGTCATCCTGCTTACTGTTTGCTGATGACATCAAGATATGGAGGGCTTTGCACGATGACAGTGATCAACTTGCTTTGCAGGAAGATTTAAACTTGTTAAGTGATTGGTGTAAGCACTGGGCCTTGGAGATTAACTTAAGCAAGAGTGTAGTTATGCATGTATCCCATAGTCACGTGCACAATTACTCAATGAATGGCATTACTCTCCCAGTGGTCACTGAGTACAAGGACTTGGGAGTGGTTGTGCAGCATGACTTGAAAACAGCAACAAACTGTAGAACTGCAGCCACTAAGGGTTTTAGAATGTTATGGGCCATACGCAAGGCTTTTGCGAACTTTGACGCTGATATATTTCGTATATTATATCCGACTTATATCAGACCTCATTTGGAATATGGGATCCAGGCAGCGAGCCCGTGTTTCAAATACGAAATAGACTTATTAGAAAGGGTGCAAAGAGTAGGAACTAAGCTAATAAAGGGTTTCTCAACCCTGTCATATGAGGAGAGGTTAAGTCGACTGGGTTTATTTCCACTGTCATACAGACGACTTAGGGGTGACCTAATACTAGCATACCGTATCCTAAGAAATGATTTTGGAGCTAATTTATCTAAATTATTTCTTCCTTCTAGCACCAACCAATTGCGAGGACATCACCTCAAGGTTCAAAAACCACGGTC